AGACCTCTCTGACATGACATGAGAATTTTTTATTTTTATTTTTTCTTAATCTAAACACTTAACAAACTATCTTAGAACTTAAATCCTTTTGAATAGATTAAGCACATGAAGTAAAGAGAAAAAGAAAGTGAAAGACGGGGATCCTTGAGATTAAAAGTTCACTTTATTTTTTTCATGTAATCATATACTTTCAGTGAGAACTTTCACGAAAAAGAATCTTGTCGTGCAATTACTATACCAACTGGAGTACTACAATCTCAAAAATCCGAACAAATAAACGTGAGATAGATATTAAAAGAGCTCGAAACACTCAAATAAACTCTAAAACTTCATGCTTCATTTACTGGACCAAAAATTTGCATAGTATGATTCATTACAATAAATTTTCTAAATTACAAGGTCAAGGATATACCTAGATTGCAGATTCAAAGCAAAAGCAGCAATGGTGAACTCAAAGTTGCACAAAACTTTGGAAACTCAGCTATGGTAAATCAGCAACAACCAGCCAACGTACAACAAACAACAGAAAACTCAAAATACTTGAACCCGGAAACTCTTTAAGAGAAAAGATTCGAAGAAAATCCAAAAAAAAAAAAGAACCTAAAGACTTTTCTAAATTATTTCCAAGAGGAACATAATTGCTGAAATTTTTCCTTTTAATTCCCTTTTTCCTGATGTTCCCCCCCCCTCTAATGAAGAAAGGGCAGCCCTTAAATAGGCAAAGAAAAGCCAACTTTTTGGACAGATTTTGGTTCAACAAAAATCTCTCCAAAAGAGGCTAAATTTGTGTGCTAAAGGCTGTCCAAAAGGTGAAAGGACAGCCTGAAATCTGCTATGGCAGGAGCCAAAGGGTCATTTCAGCCACCCTACTAATCAAAAGTAAGCTACCACTACCCTAAGTCATGATCAAACCCATAACAATTTCAGATTTTAACAACATCAATACCACCCTATTGATTTTGAACCAAAACAAATCACACAACTAACGATTGATGAAACAGAAAAAACTTAAACTAATTAGATTAAACAAATTGATTTGTACAAACTAAACATAGAACAAAACTACTGAATTCACAAACTAATGCTCGAAACAGATTTTAAACGAGAACTGTTAATTATTCGTCAACGACTAACAACAACTAAATAAACGACTATTAATAGCCGCTAATCAGAACCTAACTGTATGGAAACAACTGATTCATCTTGCGATCACAGAACGATTCATGGCTGAATCAAATAGAAAATCAAGCAACTATGCAAAAAATGAACTTGATCTATCGAATCGACAAGGATCAAAACGAGCAATTCATTATCGACAAGAAACATACGATTCAAACTGAATCTAAACCCAATTACAGAAGCAAAAATCAAAAAAATAAAAGGGGAGCTAGGATTTTACCGTATACTCGAGTATCCGGGCAATGGCGATAGGCAGTGGTACGACTCGAGCGAGTGTCTAATGTCGATTATTATCGAAACCATGACTCCGGAGAATTGGATGCTAGTTTCGATAAAAATCAACAACAGAAACTCGCTTGAGGCCGAGGTGGAGAGAGAAACGGGAGGCAGTGGCGGTTGAGGGGTGGCTGTGACGGTGGCGGATCGGCAGTGGGGGTCGCCGGAATTCCGGTCGCCGGAATTTCGGGTTAAAACCAATGCCAAATTGTAGCCCTTGATGAGATCTATCTATGTATGTAAAAATTAAGTGGAGAAAAGGGCTCAATGTTCTCGAATTTATGAAAAAAGTTGCGGCTAGGGTTTCGTTCTTTTGAAGATTTGTGGCGTTTGAGAAGGATTCGAGGGATTTGGGGCTTGGATATGGGAAGAGGAGGAAGAGACGAAGAGGGGGTGAAATTTTGGTGGCGTTTGGAGCTTGGCCGCCGCCGGTGGGCGATTCCCGGCGGCGGCTCTGGGCGGCGCTGGGCGGCGGAGAGGAAGAAGAGAGAAGAAGAGGTCTAGGGCTTGGGCATGTATGGAAAATGAGGCCAAAAAATCAGATTTTCTAAAATTATATACTTCCAATGACATCAATTTTGGACCATTGGATCAAAGAAAATAGGTGGCCAGGATTTGATCTTGATTACTTAACCAAAACGACGTAGTTTCAATCTAAAGCTACGTCGTTTCGACTATCTGCTGGGAGCCCCAATTGGACCGGATCAGTAGACTCTTTGGGCTCCTAATTTTGGGCCAATTTTGGTTCAATTTTAGTCAAAATACACTAGTCCAATCCTTTAACCCCCATATCAAATTATTTAACATAATCTAATTTAAAAGCCTAAAAATACACACATAAGAATTCTAGAAATTATAATGTAAAGAAAGAAAAAAATATACATGAGCAAAAATTAGGCATTTACATATGTGTCCAGGTTAACTTGCATAGTCGATTATTTCTCTCTATTGGTACCAGGTAATTGTCCTACCCAGGCTTCAGTAAATGGGATGCAATCTTTAGCATTTTTGTCTCTGTTTGA